AGAGATTTTTGAACCAAAAACTCCCTATGCTAGCATAGTAACCAAGCACCATCATGCTCAAGAGCCTGAGGGGCTCAAGCAAAGAGAAAATAGAATGGTGAACAACACTAGCAAGGAAAATGGTATGAATGTAGATCAGGGCATGGACAGGCCTGCAGGGTTAGAATGTACAGATAATATAATTGAGTCTCCTAGTACACCTGTGGGGTTGAAAGGGGTCTTCTCTAGAATAGAAGATCAGAGTGAGATCTGGACCAAAATCTCTAAACATGGGCGGGGAAAGCACCCCAAGAAAGTCCTTTTTAGATGAATTGTCTTTTCTAGAATGTTAGAGGGATCACTATGCGTGGGAAAACCCATGTATAGTTGACACTCTCAATAAAACAAATGCTAGCATAGTTGCTTTTCAAGAAACTAAGAAAGAAGAGCTCTCTGCCTCATTCCTGAAATCTATTAGTGGTAGTAAAAACTTCCAACGGTACCACCTCCTTGCAGTGGGAACAGTAGGAGGTGTGTTAGTTGGAGTAGATGTAGACATTTTTGATATCCTGCAATGGAGCTCCCTCAAATTTTTAGTATCTTGGAATCTTAAAGTTAAAACTAGTGGTGTCTGCATTAGAGTAGTGGTTGTGTATGGTTCCCCATATGATGAGGGAAAAGATGACTTTATCTCAGAGCTGCATAGCTTATTTGTAGATGACCATCTTCCCACTCTAATAGGGGGGCTTTAATTTGGTAAGATACCAGCAAGACAAAAACAATGGTAATATAAACCACCATTGGGCTGACAAGTTTAATGCTTGGGTGGAAATTTGGAGTTTATTAGAGATTAGGATGTCAGGTAGAAAATTCACCTGGGCTAATAACCAGGGGGATCCTATCATGTCTACTATTGATAGGATCTTTTGTACCACAAAGCTAGATGCTATTTTCTCCCCTGAGTACATCCCAAGATCTCCCTAGAACAGGTAGTGATCATACTCCTCTACTCTAGGATTCAGGCATTGGAAGCTCACCCAGAGCATCTAGCTATAAGTTTGAAAAATGGTGGCTTTTACACCAAGATTTTAAAGAGCTAGTTGAAAACTGGGCTGCTCCAGTCAAGATGACTAAACCTATAGGTGTGTGGCAGGAAAAGGTAAGAAGGTTTAGAAGATTTTCTAGAGGCTGGAGTAAAAACCTAGAGGCTAGTATTAGAAAGAAGAAGAATGAGCTTACTATAGAATTTGATATGTTAGATATCAGGTCTGAAACTGCACATCTGTCTAATGTGGAGAATGACAGGATGCAAAACATCCTTAAGGAACTTCATGCCATTTGGCTGAAAGAAGAAACAAAGGCTAGACAGAGATCCAGAGATAAAGAAATCCTGGAGGGAGATAGGAATACCAAGTACTTTAATGTTGTAGCTAATCAGAGGAGAAGGAAGACCCTGATTCATGCTCTAGATGGCCCAGATGGCACCACAACTGACATCAATGAGATGTTGAAAATAGCTGCTGATTTCTACAAAGATTTGTTTAAAAAAGAGGATAGAAAGGGCTTCACTCTAAGTGAGGATTTCTTCTCTCCAGATGAGAAAATCTTTGATGACAAAAATGAAGCTATTCAAGCCCCATTTACTAAGGAAGAGGTGAGAGAGGCCATATTTGGTTCCTACTCTGATGGGGCTCCTGGACCAGATGGCCTCTCTTTCATATTCCTCCAGGGATTCTGGGAGGTCATTAAAAATGATGTAATGGCAATGTTTAAGGATTTCCACTCTGGTAATTTAGACATCTACATGCTCAACTTTGCCATGATCACTCTTATTCCAAAAGAGGAAGATGCCACCAATATGAAAAAATTTAGGCCAATTAGCTTGTTGAACTGTATCTTTAAGGTCTTCACCAAAGTACTAACCAATAGGTTTGCTATTATTATGAATTTCCCGACCTCTAACAATCAGTCAGCCTTCATAAAAGGGAGATTCATTCTGGAAAGTGTAGTGACAGCCCATGAGGTCTTGCACTCCACTTACCACTCTGATAACCCAGGTCTGGTGCTTAAACTAGAATATGAGAAGGCATTTGACAAGGTTAATTTAGACTTCTTGATGGAAATTCTGTATAAGAGGAACTTTGGTCTTGTTTGGATCAATTGGATCCATCAGATCACTCATATGGGGTCTGTAGGTGTTAAAGTGAATGGAGCGGAGAGCAATTTCTTTGTAACTAACAAAGGATTAAGGCAGGGGGACCCTGCTTCACCTTTGCTCTTCAATCTTGTTGTAGATGTTTTGACAAGAATGCTTGCTAAAGCATCCTCCCATAGTTTGATTAGAGGGCTAGGTTCTGATCTCATTCCGGGGGGGGGGGGTCATCTGCTTACAATATGCAGATGATACCATCCTTTTCATGGATGAAGATAAGACAAAAGCAGCTAACCTTAAAAAAAATCCTAACCTGTTTTGAAAAAGTCTCAGGCATGAGAATTAACTATTCTAAAAGTGAGCTGATCCCTCTAGGTGTATATGAGTGAGAGGTAGCATCTTTTGCTGAGATCTTTGGGTGTACTGTAGGTACTTTTCCCATAAAATACCTAGGGATCCCATTACACTATGATAAACTGAGAAGAGAGGACATCCAACCACTTATAGATAAAATCCTGAAAAGGATGGCTGGGTGGAGAGGGAAGTTACTTTCTTACTCAGTTAGGCTTACTCTGATTAAAGCTTGTTTAGCAAGTATTCCAATTTATCTGTTATCCTTCTTCAAATTCCCAAAATGGGCCTTAGACTTAATTAACAGTCAATTGGCACATTGTTTGTGGAGTGATTTTGAGGGGAACAGAAAACTTCACCTAGCCAACTGGCACTTAGTCTGCATGAAAAAAGAGCATGGGGGCTTAGGTGTGCCAAATATCAAAGATGTGAATCTTTGCTTACTTGGGAGCTGGTTTAAAAGATATTCTCAAGACAATGGAAAAATCTAGAAGACTATTATAGATAATAAGTATATTAGAAATGCCCCCAATATCTTTGCTAGTAGACCACAAGCAGCCTCAAATTTTTGGCAGGGTGTGATGTGGGCTGCCAAAGCTTTGAAGTTTGGTTATAGATGGAAAATTGGGAGTGGGAGGAAAATCAGATTTGGGGAAGATATCTGGTTTGGGACCTCACACCCTCTCTGTGCAGTTTTGGCATTTGTACTCTATTTGCCACCAACAATGTGTAACAGTGTCTGAGATTTGGGATGGGGAGAATATCAAGTTAACCTTTAGGAGAGTGTTTACCACTACTATGATGGAGGATTGGTACTGCCTTGAGCAGATCATTAAGCAGACTCCCCTTTCTGATGAGGATGATGCTATGATCTGGCAGTATGAATCAAAAGGGATTTATACCTCTAGCTCTCTCTATGCTATTATTAATTTTAGAGGTGTAAAGCCTGTTTATATTCCTTCCATTTGGTCTTTGGTAGTACCACCCAGAGTGCAGGTCTTCCTGTGGTTACTAGCTCACAACAAGCTGATGACCAAAAATAACTTGCTCAAAAGAGGGATAGAAAAACCTCCAGAATGTGTTTTCTGTTTGGAGCAAGAAATGGTAGATCACTTGTTCTTTGATTGTGTGGTTGCCAGGAAAATCTGGAATGATATATCAAACTTCTTCTTTGTTGATTTACGGTCGAATTACCTATCCATTGACAGGTTTTGGCCGGCTAACAAAAAACACACAGCTATGAATGCCTTTGTGGCTTGTGTCTTGTGGAGCATATGGAAAACTAGAAATAACCATGTGTTTAATAATGCTGTCTGCTCTGACTTGAAACAGATATGGTGGCAAGTTTGGAGGATGCTCAAAAGATGGATGATCGTGTACAAAGGGGAAACGCTGGAGAAGTTTCAGCAAATCTCGCTCTGGATATCCAGCATCCTCGCAGTGCCCTTTCAGTTGACAGTGGGGTGAGTGATGGTGAGGTTGACACTGAAGGTGTCTTTCGAAACCTCTAAGCTTGCCAACCTGTCATTGAGGACAGGTGAGGATCTTTGGAAGAAAAGCGCTACCTGGGCACATGACGCCTCGTTGAAGAAAGTTGCTCAGACCACATCAAGCCCAGTCACTCCTCTGGAGATGCCTGGCTCGTCGACCCAACCGCTCAAGAAGATGAGGAGTGATGTTGTGGAGCAAATCAAGATGGCGAGGCTGATGCTGATCGCGCGAGACAAGGCAACATGGCCAGGCTGTGTTGCTCCCCTTGGAGGTGCTGAACCAGAGATGCTGCCCTGGGAGTAGTTGAAATTCCTTAGAGAGTTCACCCTTGATGTAATATAAACTCTTAAAGTAGCGTGGCTGGAGGCTGATGCGATTTCTGTTTTCTAGTTTATGGTGGTTTGTGATATCAGAACATGCTTCGGTTTGGAAGTATGATGTAAGACTTTGTGGTTTCATTTTCAATGGAACCGAGGGCCTAAAATCCCCTTATGCTCTATTTTTTTTTTGCCTAATGACCCCGAAATGGCCCAAACAGTCTAGCAGGCCAAAAACACATGGGCTGATCATGCCTGGCGGGCCGGCATGACAGCCAGATTAGCCGAGGGAGCACAGCACGCGGGTCGGTACGACATGGCCCGTTTACTAGTCATGCCCCTGAGGGCCGTGTTGCGCCAGGACGATTAGTATGGGCCGTGCCGGCCCGTTTCGCCAGCTCTGCGCGCCTCCCCTCCATTTAACGAAATGGAGGCCCGTCAACCAGCCCATCTGAACTTCTGCAACCCAAGCCATCCTCGGATTCACCGGTTCTCAAAAGGAAAAAACAACCGAGAGATCCTCGGATTCACCACCATCTCCGGCGGCGGCGGCGGCCGCGACAATCGAGTCCACCACCTTCCATCCATCCATCCACCCACCCGCCCGAACAGACAAACCAGAAGTCCCCCCCGGAGCAAGCGAGCAGGGGGCAGGCACCTCCGAGGGCTCGCCGTCGGAACTGGCCGGCCGCCGCCGCAGACCGGAGGAGATGTACTGCCAGTCGTGCAAGAACGTGTACGACGAGGAGGACGCCGGGACCTGCAAGGAGTGCTACGAGGAGGCCAGCGAGACGGAGGAGGAGCTCAAGCGCGAGATCGACGACCTCCGCTCCCGCCTCCTCTTCCTGCGCCTCCCCTCCCCCACACTCGACGCCTCCGCCGCCGGCCACTCCGACCTCCTCCTCCACGCCATCCCCGCCTCCTCCTCGTCGTCGACCTCGCCCTCCCCCTCCGGCGACGCCGACGGGGCCCGCCTCGACACCCCCGCCGTCCCGGCCCACCGCGTCATCCTCGTGAGTCATTTCCCCCTTTCCTTATGTTTTCTTGATGCGATTCAGTTCAAATTCGGACTAGTTTACCTGCGTGCTGCCAGATTTTGCTACGGTAGGTATTGATTAGATTGAGAATTTGAGTCTAGCTCGGTGTTCTTTGATGTTGGCTGTGTCATTAGCCTGCACTGATACTGTCAAGACGCCCAAAGTTCCACAAGTCAGTGTTCTCACTTCAATGTCGCTAGTCTGCACTGCTGCCGTCGAGCGGTGAGCACTATCTTCTCTGAACATGCCTGGATAGAATTTTGGCAGGTTTTGTGTGAAGTTTTATTAGAATTGAAACATGTTTTCTACTGCATGACACATGATGTGCTGCTGGCCAGCTTGTCCAATGTGACATCAGTCACCAGGGGCTGCTCTGTAGTTCACTGTATAGACTAACGAAAATGGTTTAAGGGGAATACATTGTTGACAACTTGAGGCAAAACGGAGCCTGGACGTCAACATTGATCTTGCGTTCATCAACATTTATGCGGAAATTTCTCAATTTCGAAATAGTAGGGTGAAAATAGGAATGTATATCCTAGCGCTAGTAAGTAGAGTGACCATAAAGGTATTGAAGAGCCATTGAGTTCAGTGCCCTCACAAACCCTGTTTAGCTCCTGCCGTGAAGAACAGATCAGTCTCCGACTCTGTAGACACACAACTCACCCACCCAGCAGGGTGTGGCAGGGTTGAGTGATTGGTCAGAGCAGCAGGACGCAGTCCTCTGCTCTTGATTAGTGGGTGGAAAGCAACAAACAGAGATAGGTGTGCGTGTCATATAGTATTCTGGCTTTTCGGGCGTGGTGTTGCTCATATAAAGCCTTTCAAACACCAGCAATGATGCGGCATATTAGTTAGACAATTAAACGGAAGCAGAATCAGTAAGCTAAGAAATCGCTCCAAAGACCAAGCCGTATTCTAGTTTGAACTTGACACAAGGTTTCTATCTTTTTCATTTGGTTCATGTGAGGAGGTTCCAGGGTAAGCCTGCATCTGGAATAAATCACTATACGGCAGCAGCGGAGATACAAGAAAGTTGCTGGGCAGGCCAGGCTAAGAAATAACACACAGTGTTTGTCCTTAAGGCCCAGTTTTGCTCTCACCCTCCACTTGTTTTTGCTGGGCTGGGGAAGCCACAGCCCAGGTCGGCCCCAACATAGTTCTGCCACAGACCACACCATCTTTAGGACTTATTTTCCTGGTGGCCATGGTGGCAAAATGAACACATGCAATGGCTTTCTCGCCTAGCCATGCAATCGACCTGGTGTGTGTGGTGGGCACCTGAATGGTGTGGCGATTATATGAATTTGTGTGTGTAGAGGCAGCATCTTTTCTTGCACTGCAGGATAATGCATTCTGACTTCACTGCACATATGCAGTTCTGCACGCATAGATAAAATGATAGGAACGACTCTGCAAACTTGAAAATGGGATGATATTTAGAGCGGCTTCCTGACTTGCGTTTATTTTCATTCACTTAATTGCAATTTCCTTATGCTGGATGATTGCTGATTTGCGTGATATGGTTTGCTTTATGGAAGCAGAGAAATATTTGAAATGCGACGATACAGTAAGAGTAAGTGAGTAACACATTCTAACTTATCTCTATGTGTTGTGAACCAGAGGGAGTCAGCTAGCAGATGTGGTAGGATAGCTGTTGAGTTGATTTTGGAGGGGAGTTCATGTAGAAAAGTCTATGGGGTGGGGTCTGATTGTATCAGGATAGGTCAAGAGGCAAAACATCCAGTATATACGGTTGCATTATTCGGTAAAAAGGGATGCATTACTCGTTAAGAGAAAAGGATGCATTGTCTCAGTTTAATCTAGCAAGAAGAATCAATCTAATCTCTCCCAGTTATTCTCTCGTCTCAACCTATGTGTACCAAATCGCTTGCGGACACACTGTCTGACTATCTTCAGCATGGTAATAATCCCATTGTGGATCTAAGTTCACAACACTATGTCTCTCCCTGCTCACCATTCTATAGCTCGGTGCTGCTTCTAGCAGCCCCATGTACTTGGTGAGCACCATCTCTTAAATTGTCCCACCATCTGGCCCTGTATAGGAAGAGAGGTAAATCAGGTGTCTGGTCAGCTTCTGCCCAACTGTATAGCGTCTGTGACACATGCATGCTTGTTCGAGTTTTTCATGGGAAACAAAACTATTTGTATAAAGAATATTTTATATAAAGAATATTTTATGAAGACAAAATGCCTATTTGTACCACCAGGTGAAAGAGTTTGTGCACTATTCAGTCATAGTAGGATATTATGTCTTGCGCTGTAAGGTTCTCCATGGTAGTTCCTCTGTCAATTTGTCAACCGTTTTGGCTACGTCTTTTCATTTTTGTGCGAGTTTCAACTTTCAACCAAAATTGCTTTTTGGTTTAGAACCCAAAAAACCTGAATCAACAGCCACAGTTGCACCATTATTCAAATTTTCAACTTTGCTCTCAGTATTAATGGTCTCAGACTAAACCCACATGGCATGTTTAAATTTATTTGGTGTTGGCTTTTTGTTCAGCAGAATCCTTTGTAAGTCTATGATGTTTTCCAGTACAGTACTTAACTTTAATGCTAGTCAGATGCATAGCTATCTGATTTTAGCAAGCAGCAAATTGCTCTAACTCCAATTTATTTGTCGTGTATTCTGAAGATTGTCACCATTCGTGTATTTCCCTGCCACCTTAAGTCCACATTAATTAGTTATTACTCGACACATTTCACATTTGTGAATTGTTACTGATTTGCTTATGCTGGTTTGCCACAGTATGAATGTATCTAAACTGAGTTTCTCTTTTGAGCAGGCCAGCAGGTCTCCTGTGTTCAGAGCAATGCTTGACAGCGAGATGGAAGAGAGCCGGAGCGGCGTCATCAAGATGTACGACGTGTCCTACGATGTCCTCCGTGCTTTCGTCCACTACATGTACACGGGCGAGGCTCTCCTGGACGAGCAAATGGCCTGCGATCTCCTGGTGTTGGCCGAGAAGTACGAGGTAAAGCACCTGAAGACCTACTGCGAGAAGTTCATCACGTCCAAGGTGAACAACGACAACGCCATTGTCCATTACGCGTTTGCGCACCGGCACGGCGCGAAGCAGCTGCTCGAGGCCTCCATGTCGGCGCTCATGGATAGCATGCCCACGCTGGCGGAGCGGGAAGAGTACAAGGAGCTGGTCGAGAGGGACCCGAGGATCCTCGTGGAGATCTACGAGACCTATGTCAGCCGACAGGACAACACTGCCGCCGAGAGGGATTCAGATTGCTGCTGTAGAAAGTGATAGCCGAGGGTAAAATAAAGCCATAACATTCTGGCCAATGGTTTGCATATGAATTCATACAACAGCATAACATCGTAACCAATCGTTTGCGTAAAATGTGGTTTGGTGAGATATATATTGATGCAACCATGGATCGTTACTCGGATTATGGAATGGATCTAAGTTGACTTAAATGATTATTTCCAATATTTTGTATTTATGTTCTTTTGCCCTATACATACCAGCATTTTTGGAAAATTGTTACTTGGTGTGATGCTCTGGCAAACCATCTGAGTGAGGTGCTTTCAAATTGTACATGCCTACAAAGGTGCCACACGTCACAATTACGCCACCCAAGACGGTGAAGCCAATCCACCGCCCAAACACGGGTTTGAATGATCAACCACAAGAAAAAACTGCATTATGTTCTTCCAAATGACCTCTTTTATGGGGGAGACCACAATGTTTTGGAACTGAATAATGTAGGCCGAGGAGGAGTATGCGTGCGTAGTTGGCCGTTTGCATAGGCGGTGTCCCTAAACTCCAGATGCAAGACGAGTGGCTGCATCATTGTGGTCCAACAGTGCCATGGAGATGTCAATCTGAGCCACCCACGTGTTGTTCCGCAAGCTTGGTGGACACACCAATTTCTCTTGGAGATCTGAAAGATGGCCAATGTGAGGTTTTTCAGACGCATTCCCATCAACCATGGCGTCCGCAAGCTCGGTGGACACACCAATTTCCCTTGGAGATCTGAAAGATGGCCAGCGTGAGGTCTTTC